CACTTTGCCCAAAGCCCCCACTGAAAGATCAAGGCTATGCTCACACTCAGAGAGCAGCCGTCCTCCTGTGGACTCACCACCTGCAGTCTGCACCACCTGCGGTCAGTGAGGGGCTGGTGCTATGAGACTTGGGTGGCATCTCTGACTGCCACCCCCCTGACCCAGAAATGGATTAAAGGGTAGAAAATGGATGGATGGATGGATGGACATTCTATGACAGATTGCTCTAAAAACGGTAAAAGACGAAGGTCAAGACGTTTTTTGCAGGTTATAGCTTAATTTTAAAAAGAATAATTTAAGACCACATGTACCCCAATTAGAATAATGTTAGTCTCTTTTTGATGTGGGACGAAAAAATAGGGAATAAATAAAATTGAAAGGTGATATCCTCTGGAGCAAACCCTGATGTTGATACGCTGAAGAAATACGTTCCAACATCCATTCTTCCCACTCCTATTTTGGACATCAATTGCTTATTAATTTTGGATATTCTATAATTACATTGCCTTTATTTTTTTGTGTGTGTGTTTTTGTTTTTTATCTCAAATGTCCAAATAAAAAAATAAAAATAAACATTCATTCAACATTAGCACGGCTCATGGCAATGTGAATGGAGACAGACAAATAACTGATAAAATAATTCCTTGTGTTTGCTTCTGGATTTGGTGTGTATCTGGCAACCTGAGAGTGGGAGAGGACTACAAAATATTGACTGTGACTGCAGTACCACTTTTGGCCAGATTTTTACATATTGTTCCTTTAAAGTGTCACATGTGCCTTTTGTAACCCGTGTCACATGACCCCTTCCGGTTTTAATTTGGAACAACTTCCCTTAAGTACCGCAACAACATATCCAGTTTGTCAGCTGCTCCTCCAGCGTTGTCTACACTGCCGTGTTCTGTCGAGTTGGTCTGCCCGTCGAGATGATCTGGCTCAGCTGTTAATGATGTACATTACGTCTCACGGCAGCCGAAGCAATCCAAGATGGCGGACATGTAGTCCGCGAATTGCTTTAAAAGTTAAATATGAACGAATTAAGACACGAATGTCACTTTTAATGCAATTTGAGGCGAGATGTTGATGGTTCCACGTTGTGATATGTGTGTTTTAAGAGTAAGAGTTTCGTGTAAAGTTTGTTTTAAGCAGTCCACTGCTCCTGTGAAACTACACTGCTGCTGTGTGATCGCAGTCCCTGAGTTGACTGCTGCATACGTCAGGCCCATGACGCGTCCTGTGACTGGTCTGTCGGGTTGATAATGGAAATAATAAATTAAATTTTATGCATGTATCATGCTGCATTCAATATGATTAACAATAGTGTGTTCAAACAAAATATTCAATTTGATCGAGTTTTTTCCCCATTCTGGCGGGTTTGTGCGCATGCGCAAATCAGATTTGGGCACACTAGCAGTGTAGTTTCACAGGAGCAGTGGACTGCTTAAAACAAACTTTACACAAAACTCTTACTCTTAAAACACACATATCACAACGCCATCAACATCTCGCCTCAAGTTGCCTTAAAAGTGACATTTGTGTCTTAATTCGTTCATATTTAACTTTTAGAGTAATTCGCGGACTACATGTCCGCCATCTTGGTTTGCTTTGGCTGCCGTGAGACGCGCAGCGCTGGTTTGCATTAACGCTACATCATTAACAGCTGAGCCTGATCATCTCGACAGAACACCTGTTTCTATTGAATGTATGTGTTTTTGTACTGTGAATATTGACATGTTTATGTTCTTATCATTATGACCTAATGGTAGTATGATGAGATATGACCTAATGTTTATTTATTTCATATGTTAGCAGCAATGGTCTATTTCTGTGCTAACTATTTATGGGAATGATCCATTTTTGAGAACGCATCATGTTCTACTGTAGATGAACTGCTTAACTCTGTCACCTCTAGTGTGTTGAATGTTCTGGACGCCATTGCCCCTGTGAAGGTAAAAATGGTCACAAATAAGCAAAAAGCCCCATGGATAAAAGCAGGCCCGGTCAGGGCACAGAAGCAAGAGTGCCGGAGAGCAGAGAGAAAGTGGAGAAAGTCCAACCTCCAGGGTGATTATAGACTCTTAAAAGAGAAGTTGTGTGAGTTTAACAGAGTACTACGTAGAACAAGAGAATTATACTTTTCTGAAACTATTGAAGGCTGCAGCAACAATCTACGTGTTCTATTTTCAACAATCAATAGATTAACGAATCCCCCTGTTGAGTTGCCATTAGAACACTACTCCAAATCCAGGTGTAATGAGTTTGCACAGTTCTTCAGAGACAAGGTTCAGGGTATCAGAAATGCCATCACCTCTACAACACAAGTAACAATGCAACATCCAGTGAGGCTTTGTGAGCTAGCTCAATTTGCACCTGTCAATGATGAAACTGTTAAAAAGATAATCACAGGTCTTAGTTCCTCTACCTGCAGTCTGGATGTACTACCTCCTAGATTTCTGAAGTCTGTTATGTGTAGTCTATTACCCTCATTGACACAAATAGTAAACATGTCTTTTTTATCTGGAACATTTCCAATGGCCCTGAAAAAGGCAGTCATTAGGCCCCTCCTAAAAAAGAGCAGTTTGGATGCTGCGGTACTTGAAAATTACCGTCCCATCTCAAATCTGCCTTTCATGGGAAAAATTCTTGAAAAAGTTGCCTACCAACAACTTACTGAATTTTTAATATCTAATGACTCATTTGACATGTTTCAGTCTGGCTTTAGACCACACCACAGTACTGAGACCGCTCTAGTCAAGGTAACAAATGATATTCGGCTTAACACTGATGCAGGAAAAGTCTCTGTTTTAGTCATGTTAGATCTGAGTGCCGCTTTCGACACCGTTGACCATGAGATTCTCATGCAGAGACTGGAGGACTGGGTTGGTGTTGCTGGTACCGCCCTAAGCTGGTTTAGGTCCTATCTAGAAGAAAGGAAGTATTGTGTGGAGATTGGAGACTATGTCTCAGATAATATGGCCCTGACCTGCGGAGTGCCACAGGGGTCGATTCTGGGACCTCTCCTGTTCAATATTTACATGCTGCCATTAGGTCAGTTAATTCAAAGTATGAAAGTGTCCTACCACAATTACGCTGATGACACTCAGATCTATGTCTCACTGACTGCAGGAGAGCATGGGCCGGTGGACTCACTCCTTCGCTGTATCCAGCGGATCAGTGAGTGGATGCAATGCAATTTTCTCCAGCTAAATGCGGACAAAACCGAAATGATTGTCTTTGGTCCCGAGAAACAAAGAGAGACCGTCATTTGTCACCTTCAGTCTCTCTCCCTAAGGCCCTTAAATAAGGTCAGAAATCTGGGAGTAATAATGGACTCTGACTTAAACTTCAATAGCCACATTGGATCGCTAACATCAGCAGCTTTTTATCATCTGAAAAATATTGCCAAAATTAAAAATATTGTGTCCAGGGCAGACTTGGAGATTCTTATCCATTCTTTTGTTTCCAGTAGGCTGGATTACTGCAATGGCCTGCTCACAGGTATCTCCAAACATGCAGTAAGACAGTTGCAGTATATTTCAAAATGCTGCAGCCCGAGTCCTGACTAGAACCAGGAAGTACGACCACATTAGTCCGGTCCTCAGGTCTCTGCACTGGCTTCCCGTGGCCCAGAGAATAGACTTTAAAGCAGCTCTCCTGGTGTACAAGTCTCTCCATGGCCTTGCACCAAAGTACATCCATGATATGCTAGTCCCATATGAACCAGCCCGGACTCTGAGGAGCGCAGGGACGGGACTCCTGTTAGTGCCCAGAGTCAGGACTAGACAGGGGGAGGCTGCTTTTCAGATTTATGCAGCTGGAGTCTGGAACGGTCTTCCTGAGGATGTGAGACTGGCTGCCTCTCTGTCAATGTTCAAATCCATGTTAAAGACTTTTCTTTTTTCCCGTGCATACAACTAGAGAATTTTATCTTTTTAACACACCTTGTTATTTATTGTTGTAACTTTTTGTGTTTTTAACTATTTTATTGTTTTTAATTACTTGTGTGATTTTTATGTTTTTAAATTACTTATGTGATTTTAATGCTTTTTAATTACATATGTGTTTTTAATTGTATTTTAATGGTGATGATTTGTGCATTGTGTGGTGTGGACTGTGAGGCGCTTTGTGTTGCCCTGTGCAGGAAAAGCGCCCTATAAATAAAGATTGATTGATTGATTGATTGATATTATTTTAATTTAATTCTAAAGATAATTAATGGGTTTTTCCTGACCCTGTTTCAGGTCAGGTTTTTTTCCCCCCCACCTCCACTGGCTGAACTGCACTGCTTTACTGAATGTAACCACTGGATGGCGAGCTAACGACCCCGAACCTGTCACCCACCGCATCATCGTGGTAGGTGTTGTCACCATAGACATATATAGAATAGACGCCGCATCTACCGCTACTGTCCATTGGCGCCGACGAGCCGTAGCGCCGCCATCTTGGACCGGTCGCCCGCTCCTCTCAGAGTAATCTGTTTAGCAGGCGCAGTGACGAGTCAGCGCATTTAATCAATCATAACTCGCTGAATACTTCACTGATTTTCACACTTTTTTTTTTTACTGTAAACCACACACATGTAGCTATGACACAGAACACATGGTTTGGCGTATGTTAATATTCATAGTGGGTTTAACAGTAATAGAATATTTTGATAAATGATATATGTGACGTATGACAGGAATTTTGCATAATACACAATGTTGTATCTATACACTCCTCACAAAATGTTAGGGACATTTATTCAACAAGTGAAATACTGAAACATACACACACATGTATGTATGTATGTATGTATGTATATAATTATATATATATAATGTGTGTGTGTGTGTGTGAAATATCTATATGGTTACATATATGGTTATAATAAAAAAGAGTGACAACCATAAGTGACTAGAACAAAGCAAAGACATAGTAAGTGTTAAACACTAACACATGACACCCTCCTGTACCAAACCATATTTACACATAAAAATGTGCTCATGAAATTGTTACATGAGCTAAAACCCCTGAAAGAGGACTGTTTTGCAGAGCTTCTTTCTCGTGCTTCCTTTCTGTAGATCAAGAGAGGTGAGTTTGGCTATGTGGTGCAGCCTTATCTTCAGAAATACAGACACAGCCAATGACAACAAGTTGGAATGATGGTTGTCGATGCCATACTGTGTCTCCTCAATGTGTTCACCAAGTAGAAAAACATCCTCCGTTCCGATCTCCTCCCGGACGATGTGCGTGACTGTCGACAGCTTTGTAGCTTGCAGTGTTGAAGCTCGGCGAATCACCCTCTCTGCAGCTCTCAGCACCTTCACCGTGCCTTGTGATGGAATCACGAGGCCACCGTTGTTTTTCAGGGCTAGAAGGTGGTAGCTCTCATCAAATGATGATGGTACAGCATCTCTGACCAAGCTCGCACGGCAAACATCACAGGACAGCTTGCGCAGAATCTGCCGGACTACAAATCCTGCTATGTAGACCAGAGAATTTTCCACCAGACCTCCAAACCGAGTGGGAAGATAGCTATGGTCACACACAACAGCTGAAATGTTGGCAAATGGAGATGGGTGCTCTTCAGCAGTTTCAGCAGACGACATCTCTAATGCAGACAAGGACAGTGTCATCTTGGGCTGCCACATTGTCTGTCTCACTAGGAGAGACACCACACCGGACCATCAGATGGCGGAAGATGGCCTGGAACTGGCGTGCAGACGGATTGTTATTCCAGCCACCTTGTATGTAAAACAGGCACAAAATACACACAAGATATAACACACAAAGATATTCTTCAAATAATTTTTCCGAATTATTGTAATTATAAGAACATCAACCCTACCTGACGCTCTAATTTAATTAAAAAGGAGCTCCAAGTGATCCTGGCTGAACCTGTAGGTGAGGACATACCGCTGAATTTGGAGCAGTTCAGGAATCATCACCATCAACGTGTCAATGTTAATGACAAAGCCAATGACAGACAAATATCTGCAAAAGAAAAAAAAATGATTCTGCTGATCATGGCAAAACATTCATGTTCATTCAAAGCAGTAAAGTGAATTTTCCATCATATCCATCAGTAATGTGTAATAACCAATTCTTGAACTGGGAAAACTTGTGAACAAGAACACATGCAATACATACCATTTTGACACCTACATGCATTTTGTGTAATACACACCATTTAGAAACATCTATACCTGAGACACACTGAATATAGGATAATTAAAATAGAAACAAAACTGCAGATTGAAAGACATTGAAGCAAGAGAACATAATAATTACGTACATACCATCCTTCTGACACCTGCAAAAACTTGATGTGGTGTAATACATTCCATTTAGAAGCATGTGGGACCTGAAACACACTGAATACAAGACAATTCCAACAAAAAACAGTTGCAACTGAACATTGAAAAAAAATTAAATAAATGAGCATCATGTTTGCATACTTACTGGTATGACACTTGTGTGGGACTGAATACAAAACAATTTGAAGAGACAAAATTACAGGAAAAACCATTGTAACAGTAGCATCATATGAACCTGATGCCGTGAACAGAGCATCTTAGGAACTCGATGCGCAAACAGCATTGAACTCATGTCATGAACTTTTCATGCAATAAATAATTTGACCTCTTAGATTGATGAAGAGGTGTTCCATATTTTGTCACCAAAGTGAGCAAGTACTCCCTGGCTCTTGCCAAAAAAGCTTTCTTCTCCATCCAATTCAAAGCACCCAAGGGAGCTTTGAATCCTTTGGCACGAGGATTGCGTACATTCATGATATCGAACAGCCTGTCAACCATCTAGTAAGACATATCGGCATCTAAATCATTATCATTACAATGTTTCATTAGGTATCAGATAGTTGAAATCAATATTCATCTATTCAAAATATACCTAGTATAATAGTAGCTATTTCTAAACTGTATGTTCAATGTGTAAACATGCAAGTTTTAATATTGGATTGATTTTCTTCTCTCCGTAGACCTGTGTGGTACTACAGCAAATTCTGACACAATTTAGAGTGTCAGAATTATCCATTAATTGTTCCTGATGCTTAGATCACATTTGATGAATTATCATCAAAAACATGTACCGGTACTTGATTCAATAATTAATAACTGTATTACCTCAATGAATTCTACCGTTGCCTCGCAGTTTTTAAACTGAGAGTACCCAAGATGCCTCATTGTAAGGAGAGCTACTGACACGGAGCGACTCAGCGTTTGCGCAGCCAGGGATACCCTCATCTTGTGTTTCTCAAAGTAGACATGCTTGTCTGTAATTTTATTGGCAGCATGCAGTCCATCCTTTTTTTGCACATCATTGAGATGGTTGATGTACCTCCAATTGATCTGTCCAGTGGTCGTTGCAATTGGACTGTACGCCTGTAGAGTAAGAATCAGTCACTGTTAAAACAAGTACAAACAGCAAAATGACAGAAAATATTTAGATATAACTTTTAGAAGCAGAGACATAACTTGTAGAAATAGGTCTACAACAATCATCATTTACCTGCAACATGTTACGTGCCAACTTCAGCATGTGACATGCGTCCATAATGACAGATACTCTCTCACCAGTCACTGGATGAGGGAAACTGGTTTTAAGGGGCTCTCGTGGGTTTCCCTTCAGCTCACACCCAAGTTCACTACACATTCTGACATTGGAGGCATGTCCATCCATTGTTACACTAACCACCTGGATGCCCCGTGCATGCAGCTCCTCCAAAGCATGACTGAGAAGGACCCTTTGAGTTTCTGGTTACAGAGAATTCATCAGGTACATCAGGTTCCAATGTCCTTGTAGTCCAACCACCATGAACACAAGAGCCTCAGTGGCAACCTCAGTCTCGCTGTTTCCATCACCCAGGTCTACAAAGCCAGACATTGACTGGGTATGTGGATTATATTGAACAAGTTTTTTGATGGCCATGCCATCCAACATGAGTGCTACGCGTCCGTATTTAGCCTGATCTTCCCGACATCTCCTCTCCAGCATGTCCAGCATCATTTGATTCAAGCCTGGCTTGCCATCCACTGAACAAAGCCACCTGTAAAAACAAAAAGAAAAGAAAAAAAGAGAAATAGCTATTTAAAATATTTGTATCAGTAATTTCAAAAAATGAAAGACAATATTGAGACTACCTTTGTAATGTGTGTGGATGAGGGAGGGGAAAATGTCGAGTCTCTCTCAGGTATTTGTATGCCTTTGGACCATGCAGATGGAGTGTGAGGGCAAACTCTCTGTAGGCCTTTGAGTACTCATGTCCCTGCTTTTCCATAAAGTCTATCTGAAGATCTGAAATTTTATGAGCAAATTAATAAGTCTCCTTCAGATAACAGAAAGGATTTTAATAAGAATAAGTTAGATGTCGATGCATTTCAAAGTGCTATTTTTGTCTTACCCGAGTAAAATTCAAGCCTCTCTTTGAGGCTGGATGGATGTATCATATGAATGTAAGATAACGGGATAAATTATTAAAATTGTTTTTCTTGCACAATGGGACTTACAAATGGGGGGTTTTATGGCGCCCTCTCTAGGTCACACACTAAATGTCAAGGAAAGCCTATAAGTATCAAATAAATAAACATTATCCAGCCCTAAATTTGACTAAATAGGAATTAACTTAAAGCCAAAACAACATTTACCTGTAAAAAAATGAATGTAACTAGTTCCGAAAACACATTACTTTTACAAGAGCATTCATATTGAGACAAACAAAATGTATTATTTATGAAAAATGACCCCAGCTTTAAAGACGCATGATTACAACCGTCCTACTGTTGGTGGAACTTGGTGCTGACGTGCAGGTTCCAGACATCCACACTTTCAAAAGTCCTCCATATATAGTAATGCAATATCTCAATAGTATGTTGTTGGCAGATAATGTCCATCTCCAGGACTTCAGGGAAAAACAACAATCCATCTCCAGGCCCAATGCAAATCTTTTATTTTTCAATTATCTTCCCTCCAATTCCAAACATTTGCTCAGAATTCATGTGAAGTTAAACATTTTGTCTGTATATACATGTTTGAAATAAATAAATAAATACAAAAATACAAAATAAAATTACACATACAAATTATAACGTATGTAACGGAGTCCTGGGCCGTTACAGGCTCTTGTAGTAGTGCAGTATAGGGCCCGGAGGGACGTGGCGGCTACAAGTAATCAAGGACAAGGGTCAGTGTATCTACAGTAATCTGCAGTGTAGGAAAATGCTGGACAGTAAAGATTACCCTGTCAATATGGTCCTCACTGGGAAGGCCTTTTCCTAGGCACCCTGAAGATGGGACTCAGGGAGCCATTGATTATTCCCTCCGCCTTGTCGCTCCAATGAGCAAAAGGATGTCCTTGTCTATGAACAGCCAATCATTTGTACAACATGGTGAATAATGATTTCATTCTACAGTATCTTGTATCTTCTCATATCACACAGTTGTCCCTGAAGATAACTTGAGACACAAAATCCCAACTAGTGTCACCCAGCATCATGAAGCCTAAGATTTTGTGCTCCATCAATAAACATATTTGAATAGTGTTCTATTGTTGTGAATGGTCCTCGACATACAGTATAAATGACAACAAAAACAACTAACCCATCAATGCCAAATCTCTCCATGAGTTGAAGGCACCACCACTTCCTGATATTTGGCATGTCACTCTGAAAAATAGGCAAAACATAGGTATTTAAATACATACCAGAATATCCAAGCATTTTGCTTACTAATAAGAGCGTTATACCTGGCTGAAAGGGAATGGTGCGTTGGTGCATATGGAGAGGGCATACTACAAAGAAAAGAATGAAAATAAATAATGCACAGCAGTACATCAAAATGAATTCTAGCCGTTATACCATCAACATGAAGATACCACAGTCAGTTCCAGACGACTGCAGGGGGAAATTCTGAGAGAAGTCAAACGTTAACATTGTAGAAAAAAAGCATAATATAACAATTTGTAGTGGGATCACATACTGGGAGGTCTTCCCCCTTCTTTTCTTTCCAGGGCTCAGGGTTGAGAAAATCAGCTATACGTCTGGAACAGAGAACCAAATGTAAAACAACACTATCCCATAAAATACTCATTGGTAACAGGTGGCCTGAGAACACGGCCTATTGCATAAAATACGTGGCCTTAGAACGAGGCCATGAACATAATTTCTAGTGTTTTTTTTACAAACCTAAATATTGTTTGGTAGGTGCCATCTCCAAACCCACTGGGGCGAAGAGAGCCAAGGAACAAAATCTCACGTTCTTTGACCAATAGAACCTGAAATCATTCAGCAGTCAATATTCATGAACACATATCTAAAGCATCTGAAATTATACTACATATTTTCAAGAAATATGACATTACACAGAGTATATAATGCTCCTTGGTCCATGTTGGGAAGACAATGACATCTTTTGCTTTCAAATTATCCTTTGAAGATATATATACACATGACATTTGTAAGCATACGCCACAAATATGGTAGATAAATAAATAGAGATGCTCACAGGCAGAGCAGATAAGGGTCCGACATTTTCCATGTGGGTACAGTATACATATCAAAAATATGCATATTCTTTCCCTAAGATGTATTTTTTTTTAAATGTTTGTTTTAATCACCATTACCAATAGTAGAATGGAAACTTACACATTTGTGTGCTGTTTTTGCCACTATTTTGCAGCAAGCATTTCCAATCTGAAACAAATGGAGGTCAAAGTAAATACATGACTAAGGCTTATCTATGTGCCACAATGCTTCATCTATGATACATGTGTTCGATCTTTTGTCAATCCATACAGTAGCATTTACATTTGACTCCATCCAGCGATCCTGTCCAAGTGTCCAGAAATCTTCCCTTGTCAAGCAAATATTTCCCTCCTTGACAATGGTTTCTCCAGGGGGACGACAGGAATCCAGTACATATTTGAGGTAAAGAGGTAAGACCACAGCAGGTAAGTTCTACTACAGGTAAGACCATTGTTATGAAGTTTAGCATAACAGGAGGAACAGTCAAGGTCTTCCTGTAGGCCATTGAATTTTCTATCCCACATGTCACCAGATGAACTGTATGAATGTTCTTGTTGATATAATGTGCTGTAGTTATGTTCCATCTGGTAGCATGTATGTCAGAAATTGTCAGTCGTTTGAAAAGACACAATAAATAATAAACCACATTCAATAGATTATGAATGAACTAACTTGTTATTCGATGATAAGGTCTCAATCGGGATAAGTTATATTTTTGGTTTGTTTGGCCCTTTTGCACTGTGGCGACCCCTTTTGGAGTGATATCCACCACTTTGTAGGGGCCATCATGCGTTGTGTCTCCACTTTTGGGGTTTGCTGAAATGAGGCATTCATCGCCAGTGTTGAGTGCGACAACACGGCCACGTTTTTTCTTTCGTTCCCCATATGATTTCTGCTGCCTTTCCTGAGCAAACAGAATATTTTGAAGGACCTAAAAACAAATGAGAGTTTTATTTGTTAGAATTATCTGTTATTTTGATTTCATGGACCCCAATGAATGCAAATGACATACCTTTTGGTTCAACTGAGAAACTTCGGACATTCTTCTTTCAGTTGTTTCTCCTGCCTCATCCAGTTCAAATATGTCCTCCATGGGACATGCATTAATCATTTTGGGTAGATGGGGATGGCGATGGAAAAGGAGGTAGTATGGGGAATATTTGGTTGAAGACTGATTATAAAACATTACCACATCATTTAGATATATGGTCAATGAACATTCTGTTTACAACTGTAATATCGATTAGCCTACCTGTTTTGCTGTGTTTATGCCAGACACCACAGCAGAAAGGTGAACGTCCCAATCACTTTGGCTTTTTTCAACATACTTTTTCAATGCCCTCTTTATGTTTTGATTTGTCCTCTCATCCTGAATGCAAATCACGTAGGCTTGGACATTTTTTATAACAAAATTATATGTTCAAATGTTCAAAAACAAACCTGCCCGTTGCTTTGGGGGTGATATGCAGTAGTTATTGCATGCTCAATGTCAAATAAATCAAATAATTTCCTGTTTAACTGTGAAAAGGACACATTGTTAAGATAAAAGCATAAACCCATGAATTCAAGAAATACATCTCACCTCTTTGACAAATTCCCGTCCCTGGTCTGTAATGATTTTCCTGACCAAACCGAAGGTATACAGCTTTTCAATTAGAGCAGCTGATACCTCTGGTGCAGTTTTTGATTGGAGAGGCACTGCACAAACCCACTTTGTGAACAGGTCGGTCATGCTCATGATATACTTATTTCCACGTGGCGTTTCTTTTAGTGGGCCGATCAGGTCCATCCCTATGACCGTCCATGGTTCAGTTACCTAAAAGAGATTCACATGTGACAGATCTAGAATCATTCTTAACTCATTGACTGCCAGCCGTTTTTGATGAATTCACTGATTCTCAAGACCCACAGAATATTTTTTCCTCAGACTACGTGAAATACGAAGCCAGATTCTGAAAGACTGGATTGTCTACTTTCATCAACAAAAATAAGTTTGTTTCTAGCTGTTTATATTGTCCTGTAATTCCCAGTCGAAAAGAAGGTCTCAGACAAATATGTCAATGGCAGTTAATGAGTTAACATGTGCTGTAGGTGTAAAATTATGTATTTTTCTACCTTTTATTGAGTGCAGCTCAGGTGCCACTGTTTTTATTGGGTCATTGACCTGACATGAATGACATTTGACCTGAAACGCAAATAGGGGATGGTCTGAACACAGTACTGGGAGACATGAGGCTGTGGGATAAATCATGATTAATGTATACATTTTGTTTGATTACTCACATGAGTTAACACCCTGGGGTATAGTGTATTTAATATTTGTATATTTAAATGTATAAACCTGATGCACATTACCCATTCTTGCACATCACTGTGAATTGTTAACCAGTAGTAGCCAGCTACCACACGGTCTCGGCCCGTTCACCACAGTGGTTCCCTGTCCCAGCGTTATTGTGGCACTCCAATAAAACTGATTTCTTCTCCTCCTCTGACATCACCACAAGCCTCATGCACTTTTGTTGAGGGCCAACATAGAAGAGTCTGTTGTCTGTGAAATAGTGGGAAAAATGTACATGTGATTTGAACAACACAATAAATACTTCATCTATAAATAAGATCTTTTAGCCAATAAATTCAGCAGCAGACGCAGTGTCAGACTGGACCAGGTTGCTCCTTTTAAAATTAATAACTATCGTGGAATTGGTATTGTGGAAGAATTAAGGCGCAAGAAAAGCAAAGTAGGGTGGCCAAAAGATGGTATCAGAAGAATAAAACTGCAATAAATTGTGAAATATACATACATCTGCGAAAACATACAACAAACAATATGGAAATCAAGAATCAACTACTTCTCAAACCATATCATTTTACCTCGTCTTACCTTTAATTATATATTGAGGAGCCATCCTTTTTACTGCTTTCTTGGTGGCTTGATTTCTACATTTACCTCCTCCAAGGAAGTGAAATAACTGTTTGTACGCTTCAAATTTTGACATCAACGTCAACATCAACAATTTAAAATTTAATTCCCCTTCGACTAGGTACGTCATCGCACCAGCACGCAGCCCTTATACACCAATTTATTCCGAATAAAATGAAATTTCATAAATATGACACAGGGATGCACATAACCTGGGCGGCACGGTGGCTGAGTGGATAGCACTCTCGCCTCTCAGCAAGAAGGTCCTGGGTTCGAATCCCGGTCGGACCAGGGCCTTTCTGAGTGGAGTTTGCATGTTCTCCCCGTGTCTGCGTAGGTTTCCTCCGGGTACTCCGGTTTCCCCTACCACTAAAAATATGTCCAATAGTTCTAGCATGCGCCTCCTGTACTGGCCCCGCTCCCATCTCTGTGTGGAGTGAGAGACAAATGCCCAAAAATTAACAATTGTAAACTGCTTTGAGACTCAGATCTGCAGTGAAAAGGCGGTATATAAATAAAGATTACTTACTTACTACTTACTTACATAACAAGTGTAGGATGATTAAAAAAGTAAAGGACAGTGAATCCAATCAAGAATCAACCTGTCTATGTGTGCGCCTCATTTCCGTGTGCCTTTGAACGCATCTGGGCACGAGCTGCGCGGCTACAAAAAGTATTTTTTTCTCTGAGCTCTTTTTCTGCCATTTCTCGTAATAAACCTTGATAGATGTGAGCACAAATCAATAATATAATGTGTATATGACAACACAAACGGTTAACATGTTTATTTACACTTTTTGACATGCGCAAACTGAACTTCCGGACAAATCTGGTTTCCGGTGTTCTGTCCGTCGAGATGATCTGGCTCAGCTGTTAAAGGAATAGTTCACCGTTTTTACATACTGACATATGTTCTTACCTTACCTTAGACTAGTTAATATGTACCTGTCTGGTCTTAGTCCGTGCGCTCTGTCATGCAAACGGAGCAAAAACGGGAGCACAACCGCAGCCTCCTCTGTATATTTTGTAGCACCAAAGGTAGCTCCCGCTAGAAGCTACCAAACTCTTCCAAGTGTTCCCTATTAAATGTATATAGTTACGTGACGTGTTACACTGCAAAGTATAGTAACACAGAAATGTAACTGTCGATTTTCTCAGCGGATAAAACGGGTACTATATTGTGAGGCGTAGTAATCTGAGGAGCGCTACGTCCGCGCACTAACTTCTCTCCGGAGACTTCTCTCTCGCTCACTTCCGTCAATAGAAGCAGCGTGACTTGGAGTACACACAGTAGTAGCAGAGACTTATTGGATAGCTAGTTTGAGGACAGTTGAGGCAAGTTGCTGCCTCAACTGTCCTCAAACTGTCCTCAAACTAGCTATCCGATAAGCTCCTCAGATTACTACGCCTCACAATATAGTACCCGTTTTATCCGCTGAGAAAATCGACAGTTACATTTCTGTGTTACTATACTTTGCAGTGTAACACGTCACGTAACTATATACATTTAACCCTTTAGGCGCCAGAGTTTTTTCAAGAAAATATACAATTTTGATTTCAAGATTTCAAAAGGCTATAACTTTAAAATGGTTTGAGATAAAGGCATACTGTAAATTAGAAATATCTTCAGTTTGAACCAAACTTTGGGATGGAAGTTGATTCGTCATCTAATTTGCATATTGTGACGTCATCAAGGTGGCGGCCATTTTGGAAAATGTTAATTATTGTATAAAGACTTCAAAAAGCTGTAGCTTGGGAGTTATTTGAGATCAGGGAATACTATAAACAGTCAATGTGAAATATCTTTAGTATGAAATGAATTTGGGATAGAAATAAATTCCCTGATCTAGATTATAGATAATGTTTTAGCACTGGTTCGTGGCCATATGGAATTTTATTATTTTCAAAGACCTTCAGTGATCAAGACAGCACTCTTTATAGTTTACAGTCATGAAATCTTGAGATTGGTTTCAATATTTCCCTTTCAGAGAAGTAGTGGGCTTACTATTTTTCTCAGTGGAAATGAGGCTCCAGGATTTACCGTTTAGAAACAGAGAGATGAAATGAATGGGCACAGAACTTGTCAGATCGTCTCAACAACATACAACAGGCTCTTCAACACTTCTGATCCACTTTTGTGGATTATTTTCTCTCAAGAACTGTCTTCATCCTCATCATCGCTGCTGGTAAAGGCAGTGAACGCGATTAGCGATGTGTTTTTTTCCCGCGGCTCTCCCGCGACTTCTCCCGCGACTCCTGTGTTCCCCGTGGATGTCTACCCCCACTACTTTCTTCCACATGCCCGGTGTTATGATCCCCCTGTTCCCTCCACCACGGATCCTGCTTGGCGTTCACAGAATGCTTCTACCGCGGCCACACGGAGGACAAGCAGCCGCTGTACAGGGGCTGATTGTGGACTATGGAGCGCGGTCTCCCCGTCACCAATAATGTCCGTGTCTGCTTCACTGGACACCTGTGTGTCTTCCTCCTCTGAATCTGAGTGAGCCAGTACCAGACCAAGTACTTCTCTGGTACTGAAGACCTCGTGAGTAAAATAAAAAACCCTCTCTCCCTCTGCTCTGCTCTCGCTCCTCTCAGCTCTACCGCTGCTGCTTCGCCTCCGCGCCGCTGCGCCGCAGGTGTTTTACGAACTCAATTTACTCAAAAACTTTCAATATAACCACACCCACAAATGTTGCTCATATTACAGCCACACATGTCCACTAACCCCTGGTGAAAAGTATTAACAAGATTCTGCACCACATTTTTACATACAGCCTGTTTAAGTGAGCAATGTTGCTTGTCGCAATATTGCGACTTTGGCGCTTAAAGGGTTAATAGGGAATACTTGGAAGAGTTTGGTAGCTTCTAGCGGGAGCTACCTTTTGGTCCTACACAGTATACAGAGGAGGCTGCGTTTGTGCTCCCGTTTTTGCTCCGTTTGCATGACGGGGGATTTACACAGTAGGCGTAAACAGCGCGTACGCGTTTACTGCGCGCTCTCTGCGCGTAACATTTTTTTGGAGTATCTACACTGACCGTGCTCGCAGGTCCGCGGCTTCTGATGCTCTCCCTGTGTAGTCTATGGAGCAGTGCAGAGGACAGTACAGAGGACTGATGTAGAGCAACACAAATCACATGCATGTGTTTGTCCTCATGGTCTCTGTGCGCTGGTTTGGCCAGACGCGAGACTTTATGAAAGAAAAAAAACGATGTCCAGAATCACTGTAAAACCTGCTGCTCCTCCTGCTGATGTTTAGACACAAGTGCAGTGTGCGTGCAGATGTGATCTAAAGCCAAGGACCGCTAGAAAAATAAAGTTTTACATGAGATTTCAATGGGAGACGCGTTGGTGCGCGCACAAAATTAGAAATCCATCCTAAATTAGAGCGCAGCTTCGCTTCACATGTCCGTCATACGCGCGTATAACGCTAGAAGTGTAAATATCATCATAGGTTAATATGGAAAAAATTAACGCGCGTCTGCTGCGCGTATAACGCGTACGTGCTGTAACGCGTGATGTGTAAATTAGCAGTGACAGAGCGCACGGACTAAGACCAGACAGGTACATATTAACTAGTCTAAGGTAAGGTAAGAACATATGTCAGTATGTAAAAACGGTGAACTATTCCTTTAATGATGTAATGCAAACCTGCGCTGCGCGTCTCACGGTTGTCAAAGCAATCCAAGACGGCGGACATGCAGTCCGCGAATTGCTTTAAAAGTTAAATATGAACAAATTAAGACACAAATGTCACTTTTTTTTAGAGGGTTTTTAGGGTTTTTAGAGTAAAGGCGCGTTCAGACCAAAAGCTTCAAAAAGCTTTTGACGTGCTTCAACTGACGCCGGGATAGTTTTGTCATTTTGATGCTTGAAGCTTTTGACGCGCCTGACGCCGGTGGGAGGAGCTTCTCTGTTGCCTGTAGTCAGGACTCTCCCCGGCTCACGTTGGCCTCTCCCCGCCTCTCCCTGCCTCTCCCCGGCTCACGTTGGCCTCTCCCTGCCTCTCCCCGGCTCTCGCTCGCCTCTCCCCGGCTCTCGCTCGCCTCTCCCTGCCTCTTCCTGCCTCTCCCCGGCTCTCGCCCGCCCGGAGCTGCCTTGCTCTGAGCCAGACTCATCGTCAGCCTGTTCTTATAATAAACTACGTTTACTACACAGCATGTGTACAATGATTTTTGTTACTCAGAACGTTACTACTCATACAAATAATATTACTAATAACAATAATGACAATAAAACAGCAGCAGCAGATACATGACTTCTCTTCATGACAGAGACAGACCCTCTGCTGCTGCTGCTCCTCGTCTCCTGATTGGTTGAAGCCCGCGTCAAAGCTTCAAAAGCTCAGCTTTGCTCAACTTCGGCGTCAGAGGGATCGTTTTGATACGCGAGCGTTTCGCGCGACTCTTGAAGCTTTTGACGCGCGTCAAGTGACGCCGGGGCTCTTGGCTTCACCTGACGCGCTTCACCATTCACTTTCAATGCAAACCTGACGCTTTTGACGCCGAAGTTAAGTCCGGTGTGAACGCCCCTTAAGAGTTTTGTGTAAAGTTTGTTTTAAGCAGTCCACTGCT